ATGTTATAGCTAACAAAATTCGGATTGCTTCCAATCTAGCTACTAGTGCATAAGTTTCATCATAATCAATACCTTCCCCTTTACTATAACCTTTGGCTACCAATCTAGTTTTGTTTCTCAAAACACACCTAGTATCATCCAACTTATTCCTGAACACCCATTTAGTTTCAATAACTTGTTGAGATGAACTTTTAGGAATAATTTCTCAAACATCATTCTTCTTAAACTGATTTAATTCATTCTGGATAGCCAGAAACCAATGTTCATCTTAAAGTGTTTCTTCCAGATATTTTGGTTCTTCTTGAGATACAAAAGCTACATTCATGCAAAACCGAGTAGGTTGTCTTCTGGTTGACACTCCAGTTGATATATCACTAATCACATTCTCTAATAATTTTTCTATTTGTTGTTGCTCGTCTTTTTCTTCAATGATTTGTGGTTCTTCTGTTGCTTCTACTGTAATTTCAAGAGTTGCACTTTTTCTAGGCTCATACAATATATCTTTAACAATTTCATCAAATACAACAAGCATTGATTCTTCAATAGTCAAAATTATTTTATTATATACTCTATAGCCTTTACTAGCGGTAGAATATCCTAAAAATATTGTTTCATCAGCCTTAGAATCAAATTTTTCAAGATTACTTTCGCCATTATTCAAAATAAAACATTTACATTCAAACACTTTAAAATAAGATATGTTTGACTTGTTACCTCTCAAAAGTTCATAAGGTGTTAGTTTCAAAATTGTTCTAATTAAAATTCTATTTAAAACATAACAAACAGTGTTTATTACATCTCATTTGCCCAAAAATATTTTGGTAGAGTTATTTCATTTAGCATTATTCTGGCTAATTCTTCTAGAGACCTTTTTTTTCCACTAAACCATTTTGTTGTGGTATTCCAGGTGCAAAAATATTATAAGAAATGCCAAAATCTTCACAAAATCTTTCAAACTTTTCATTTTGAAACTCACCACATGATCACTTCTTAAAATTTTGATTTTCTAATCAGTTTTGTTTTGAATAACAGTAGCAGCTTTTCTGAAAACTTTGAAAGCATCACTTTTAGAATGTATGAACAAAGTCTAAGTAAATATAGAGAAGTCATCAACTAAAACTAATTCATAGTAGTTTCCACCAATGCTTCTAGTCCTTTAAGGTTCAAACAAGTCCATATGAATTAGATTTAATGGTTTACATGTTGAAACATATAATTTGTATTTAAAAGCGGTTTTAACTTGCTTACTCTTTTGACATGCATGACATATTCTATATTTTTCAAAATTTTTGGCAAGCTAACTACAAGTTCTTCTGAAATCAATTTGTTTAGATGAGACATATGTATATGAGCAAGTATTTTGTGCCACAACTAAGGTTCATCTTCTTTGGTTATTAAACAAATATCAATCTTAAAAGTATTGCACTCAAAATTAATCATATAAATGTTTTGTATTCTTTTTCACATGAAGACAATATTTGATGCAGAGTCACATATTATGCAGTGATTTATTTAAAAAATTACTTTCAAGCCTTTATCACATAATTGACTATTGTTTAGTACATTATGTTTTAATTCTTCTACCAGTAATACATATTCAATTACTAAGGAAGATTTATTACTAATCTTACTAGTCCCAAGAATTTTTCCTTTATTGTTGTCATCATAGGTAACATATCCAATTTCTTTTAGAGTGATGTTCTTAATTTTCTTAGTCACCTGTCATATGTCTAGAACATCCACTATTCAAATACCACATTGAGTTTTTGATGCCCAAATTTTTCTTCAAATTTGGGTCCGCTCATGTCAGTTACATGCAGTTTTTTTTTAAGTAACCACTTATATTTTCCTCTTGGAACACCATAATTTTTGAAATAACAATTTTTTGATGTATCAGAATAGTAAAAGTATTTTATAGATGATGATTTACTTATATTTAGAAAACTTCTAGACTTATCTAATCAATTAGCATTATATCCAATTCCTTCTTTATTTAAAGTGCATATTTGGGAATTCAATATAGCATCTAAGTTTGTTTTTCCTAATGTAAATTTTGAAAGTATTTTAATAAGATACTTTACTTTTTCTAAATGTTTCTTACAGTTATCACTTTCATGCATAAAGTCCTTACTATTCTTTTCTAAAGTTTCCAACTCTGTTTCCAAATTTTATTTTCATTATGAAGTTGTTTCAATCTATTTTCCAACCATCTATTTCCATCCTTAAATCTTTTATTAGAATGTGTTATTTTTTTACTTCGTCATGCATTTCATTAAAAACATCTAACGATTGATAATAGTTATTTTATCATTAGATACAAAGGTACTTACATTGAATTTGTTTGATGTTTCTATATTTTCTATCGAACAAAGATTTGCTTCTTCATTTGTATTTCCACTTGACTCGCTGGAAGTACTTGAAGCATTGTCTTTCCAAGAAATATATGCCTTCTTCTTTTTGTAATTCTTGGTTTCCTTTCTATCTTCTAGTTTTTTCTTCATCTTGAACACAACACAATCTGGCTTGATGTGTCCAGATTTCTCGCATTCATAACATGTAGGAATATTCCCCTGTTCCTATTTCTTAAATGGTTTCACAGTAGATTTGTTAACAAATTTGATTTTGTATTTCAAAAATTTAGAAAATATTTTTACCAGCATAATCAAGTTTTCACTATCAAAATCTTTGTTTTCATTTCCCTGCATAAAATCATTCTTCTTTGTAGCAGTCTTTAATACAACAATGTGTCTTCTTTCACTTTCTTCTTCTTCTTTGTGTCTTCCAAGTTCTAACTCATGTTTCCTTAGCTTCCCATACAGTGTAGACATATTCATTATTGTAAGATCTCTTGATTATGAGATAACATTCACTTTAGGTTGCTAATTTCTAATTAAAATCTTTAGAATCTTGATATTCAATTTCTCTTTATCAAAGATCTTTCCAAGAGCCATTAAATGATTTACAATATGAGTAAACCTTTTCTGAACATTATATATGCTTTCTCTAGTCTTCATTCTAAACATTTCATACTCTTGAATAAGATTATTCTTTCCTGCTCTCTTGACCTCTTCAGTTCCTTGATGAGTGACTTCAAGAACACTCCATATTTCTTTAGTTGTTTCACAAACAGAAATTCTATAGAATTCATCAAGTGTTAGTGCAAGAGAAATAATATTCCTTGCTCTAACATCATAGTGAACTCTTTTATTTTCATCACGAGTCCATTCAATAAAATCTTTGATCATTGTCACACCATCTTTAGTCTTGGTTGGTTGAAAAGGACCATTAAAAACAATATCTCAAACACCTTTATCAACAAAATTACGAAAAATCTTCATTCTTATTTTCTAGAACGGATAATTTTCATCAGAAAATAAAGGAGGTATGTTTATAGATGCCCCATCAGCAAAAGTTTGAGAAATGTTAGTCATTCTTTTTTTGTCAAAATCAAATAACTTTTAATAACCCAGCTCTGAGACAAATTGTAAAAAAAAACTTGAATGACTAAACACACTCAAGAGGAGGGTGAATTTGGTTTGTAAAATCTTTTTGAAATCTAATCAATTATTTAAATCTTTTTCTGATAATCAAACTGAAAAAGAATTAAAAATGTGTTAAGGTTTCAAGAATACCAAGATAAAGAAAAGAAAGAGAAGAATACAAGAATTTTATACTGGTTCAATTCCTTACACACTTTAATCAAGATCTAAGAAAAATCACAATACTTGAAAATGCTAACCACACAATTTTCAAGTTGTCTTGATATTATTCACTTCACAAACATCAATATACAACAAAGATTCACAAAATGAAAAGACATGAACGAATTCACCTGAAACTTTGAAATATAAAATCCTATAACCAAATGATTTCACCGTCGAACTTTATTTTCTCAAAATGTTTTACTGAATCAAAATGTTGTCTTGATTCCCACTAAAATTTTCTTTTTCAATTCTTTTATCGTTTCTCAAGATATGTATAATCAATGAAAATTTTCTTCTTTTTAAAGAAATGAAATCTATTATTCAGATAATCAATTAGTAAAATCTAATCGATTATTTGTATGCAGTGATAGACTGAAAGTAAACAATATAATTGGTTAGGTACTAATATAATTGATTATCAATGCTTGATGTCAAAGCATGAGATGTAGTGGCAATATAATCAATTATTAGCGTACAATATGAAATATTGATCTAATTTATTAATACAAATTTAATTAATTCAATTTTAATATAATTGATGAGTTGTTTTGACTTTTTACCTTTTTTATTTTAACCAAGGATTAAATCATTTGATTTTAACAATAATTATTCACACAACTACCGGCTATCTATTAGGACATCTAATATTATCAAACTTCTCCTTTAAAAATTTAGAATTAAGTTGTTCAAAAATTATTTTTAATATAATAGATTTCAAAAATATTTCCAGAGAAAGGTAAAAAAATAAAAATTTCCCACATTTAAAATGAAAGTTTACTTAGAAACGTACACATTACCTTTAATATGATAGCAAGCTAAAAATTTAGATAAAAATAACACAATTTTTCTGAGAAATTTATACACATATTCTTAAGAATATTTGTACCAACTAAAAAAAATTTAGTCATTCTTAAATAAAAATCATTTCTCTTACTTTTGATAATTTTGAAGAACAATGAATTCAAAATATATAAAAAAAATCATTTATCAAATAGTTTCTTAATTTTTATTCCATCTTAATTTTTCATTCAATCCTTTGAAATTATATCATAAAATTATTATTTTTCTACAAATTTTTTTATTATTTATTTTTACGTGTCTTTGTTTCCAAAAGATAGAAAAAAATGATAAAAATGTATATTTCAACGTAAAAAAATTATAAAATGAAAATAAGATTTTATCTTCTCACCTATAAACAAATAAAATAAAATATTATAATTTTTAAACATATTATGTTAAAAAAATTAATTTATTTTTATTATATAAAAAATATTTTAAAATAATAATTATTTTCACTCTTTTCACTTTGATCACCTGATTTCCTTTCTTTCTCATCTTTTTCATTTTGTATCCACCCTCCTCTTCAAAAACAATATTCAAAATTGGTCTTAAAGATTTGAGAACTAGATAAAAAAGGATTGAATTCTAAACTAAATGATACTTATTTTGGCCTAATCTGTTTAGACTATGGATTACATAGAGTTAGGTCACACTACTATTGGCCACTATTTCTTGACCCACTATTGGCCAAACCACCTGAGCACTAGGCCTAATGTGAGTAGGATCACTTAACCATGCCTCATAATTGGAAAAACGAGCACCATGAAAATGCATGCCACTCAGCCAAAGAAAGATGATAGAGAGTTGGCCGAAATGGGCACTAAAAACTTTTCGGGAAATCTCCTCTAAATTATTAGTATGGCTATCAAAATCATGAGCGTCAGCATGTAGGTTCCAGATCCAAGTAGTAGTATCAGGTCCCTTAGCTATTGTTCTTGAGAAATGACCAGGTTTTGCCCATTCCTCAAAAGAAGTTTTTATAGGATCCCTATCTACCAAAATTTTAACTTCTGGTTCTGGTGAACGAATAATCATTGAGTCCTCCTCTTTCCGGACAACACATACAAAGAGACCTGCCAACATAAAACAGAATTAGTGAACTTTTTAGAGATGTTTCTATTGAGTTTTGTTCTCTTCTATCTCTCATGTATTTTATATCTTAGTTAATTTCATTTCTTTAGTTTTTCACTAGAACAATTATGATATCGAAGTCAATTCGGGGCAAGTGTTCGTGCAGCCTAATCAAATGTATTCAGATTTTACTCAGAAGTTCCTAGATGGAATTCATTTTATTTCTTTTTTTTTAATGAAGGTCTCTTTTATTTTATTAATACGTCGTCATTGAAAGTTAAATGTTGAACATGTTCTACGTCGTCGGTTCTCGGATGAATCGACGTGGAAAAGTCTTTTTATTGACCCATTCAACGTGATTCGAACCCAGTACCTTAAAGTTAGAAGTCGATACTCTAACCACTAAACTACTAAAATTTTCTAATAATAACTTATAAATAAATTATATTTATATACAAATAAATATATATATATATATATATATATATATATATGTGTAAATATATAAATATAAAATATATAAATACAAATATATTTATATTTTTTGATATATTTATATAGTTATATATTTATATATTTATATGTTGGATATGAGGGTGCACTCGAGGGTGAAAGTGAGATTGACTCTCGCTTGAACGAAAATATGTTAAGGCTCATGAAAATTCACTCGCTCAAGCGAAAATTGGTACTTTTCGCTTGAGCGAATGTGTCATTTGAAAGAATGACGCATTTTCCAAATTTATTTTATATTATCATATAAATAAATTATGATTATATTCTGTCATTAAATTACAAACCTATATAAAAAGATTCGCTCACAAATTTGACATCAAATTTTGAAAACCCACTCGACACACTTTCGCATCCAACATATAAATATATAATTATATAAATATATCAAAATATATAAATATATTTGTATTTATATATTTTATATTTATATATTTACACAAATATATATTTATTTGTATATAAATAAAATTTATTTGTAAGTTATTATTAGAAAATTTAATAGTTTAATGGTTGAAGTATCGACCTTTAACTATAAGGTACTAGGTTCGAATCGAAAAATCAGACTTTCAACGTCGGTTGTAGAACCATTGTTGAAGACCTTCTATAATTGACGTGTTTTTAAGTCATACAAATTTAATTTGGTAATGATTCAAACTTCTAAAAAATATAATAAATAATAAAAATATAATATAAAAAGAGGGAGAACCTCTAGATAAATTGAGAGGTTATAAATAAATAAAAATTATCAATCTGAAAAATCAAACTTTCAACGTTAACGTCAATTAGAATTGCTGTTGAAGACCTTTTATAATTGACGGATTTTTAAGTCATAATTTATATAAACTAATGTGTAGACTTATAAATTACCATTTTTTAAAATAATAATTACTTTTAAATATAAATAAAAATAATAATATATATATATATATATATATATAAATTAATTTGATAATAAATTGACCTATTTAAAATAAATATCAAAACAATTTTTAAATTACTATTTATTTAAATATCTAAAAATTAAAATTAATTATTATTTTATAATAATAAATTATTAAAATAAATGATAATAGTGAAAAATAATTTTTTTATTTTAAAATGGAATGAATCTATCCTATAATTTATATATTAAATTATTATATTTTAAATAAAAATAATTTTATTAATATAATGTAAAATTTAAAATATATTATTTTTATTTAAATATTTTTATATAAATTTGTTAATAATTTTTTTAATCAAACTAAGATTAACCAATTAATTTATAATTTAATATCATTATCAAATTAAACTAAAAATTATAATTTATTTTAAAATAAAATTATTAAAACTTTTTATTTCTTCTATTGGATGAGGTCCCCGACCCATTTTAAAAGTTGTAAACAAAAGCCATGCGATGCACTCCTTTATTGTTGTCCGTCAGGGTCTACTATACACACAGGATTCTACTGTCTGCTATGTGATTACTGTTTCCTATATATTTTGATTCCATTTTTGCGGACCTCATACCCCGTACTCGTCACACAATCTAACATATAAGTGAGCTGATGAGTTAACGGATCGGTTTGTGAATAAATTTTTTTATATATAATTTTTAAATATATTTTTAATTATATAAATAATTTTTATTTATTAATTAATATTTTTATTATATAAATTAAAAAAGTTATTATATTTATATGTTAAAATAATTTATTATAATTAATAAATTAATTTTAATTAATTTATTTTATAATTTAAATTATAATATATTTAAATATATTAATAATATAATATTTATAATTATAATTATTTTAATTCTAATTTAATATATAAACATTATTTTAGAAAAACGAGACAGAATGAAACCAGAGACCAGTGTGACCCATCTATCCCAAGTCCCACCACGTTTTGGGTGTCTCTTCCTATCGGGGCTATCCTCGTGTCTATTCTGCATCAACACTGTCAAACAAGGACTGGTTACCTTTTATTTGGGAGGTGTATTGTTGTTCACACGTTTTTATACACTCACAATGTAGGACATATCCACATTCATAGGATTCCTACCCAAACACAAGGGCAATCATAGGTTCCAAATATTATATGTTTTTGGAATTCTAATATCTCATTATTTTAGATTTCTGTTTTTGGTGGAATTTTGATTAATTTCGATTCTTAAGAGGTTTTGATTCTAACCAAAACTCAATTACGTAGATTCTTTATACTTAGGCTAGCAACTGAATTTCAATCGAAATGCATATGAGAATCGAAAATACCACTATATATAAATACTAAGATTGATAATCGAAAGCACTATTTTTGGTATTTTGTATTTGAAGTATTCGAAATAAGAAAAACAGTAAAGTGACAAATCAAAAAGCAGTAGCGAATGTAAAACTGCGAAGGAATGAAAAATGCGGAAACCTCAAATTTGCATTAAGTGTAAACGACAAAGCATCGAAATTGCAGAGAAATAAATAACAGGAAATCGAAATTACAGAAATGTAAATAATAGGAAATCGAGATTACAGAAATGTAAATAGCAGGAAATCAAAATTACATTAATATAAATGACAATGAACTTAAACGCAGAAACTTAACTTTCATTAAAGAGAAATGACAAGGAATCAAAATACAGAAACTTAAAGTTGCTAAACATAAACTGCATCAAAGTAAATTACCAGGGAAAATAAAGAAAACGGTAAAGAAAATCAATGAACATGGAAATCCAGATCGGCAGAAACTTCATGATGTTCGTCGTTCTCCGGTAGACTTCTCACTAGTGTTCCTGCTCTCTCTGCCAATTTTTCCACCCCCCCTCCTTCATCCTCCCCTCTATTTATAGGGCATCCTTTCAGCAAGTAACCTCTTAGGAGCAGTTAACGAAAACTGCTACCACGTCTTACGTGCACGTTGCAGTTTCTTCTTCGGTATTAAAACCGCACCCACGTTCCCATGATCTTCGACCTCGCCACGGTTTAGAAATTGTTTCCTATGTGCGTGTTTAACTGTTCCTCTCTTTATGACCTAGCCGGATTTCGATATCCACGCAGATTAGCCTTCCTCTTGATTTTGATTTCTTGATCTCGAGAACTTTGGATTGCTCTTGGTTTTCCTTAACATTACAAAATTTTAATTTCTCGAAAACATTCTTCCTTCGATTTCTCGATTTTAATTCTCGATCATATTGTCACATGGTCGACGAACGTATTTTCCAACCATCTTTCGATTTATCAGTCTTTAACTCAACCAAAATTGTTTTCGATTTTTTGCTCCCATTTGTTTCTCGATCCGTTTATCTATTTGTCAGTAACAGTTGGAAAGAGTAATTTATATATCTTTTGTTCTTAATTTGATAAAAGGCAATAAATTTATCTAACGCTAAATTATGTTTCTTTAATTGTTTTTTAAATCAAAATTTGTCACATTAATTTTTTATTTGTTTGAATAACTTTAAGTAAACGATGATTGAAGATTTTTATAAATTATATTTCTATCTCATTAAAACATCTTTCCAAGACAGAGTTATGATAGAGTTGAATAATAATTCTAATATAAAATTCATCTAGTAAAATTTGAACTGGGAACATTGACAAAGACTGTGTTTGGACCGGACTGGAAATTAGACGGTGAACAAGGACAGAGAATAATTAAATAATAATATTTTTAGTATAAAGATAAAATTACTCTTATAAAATATAATAAATAATTTAAATAGAAATTAAAGGTATAATTATTAAAAAATTACATTTATTTTAAAAATGGGATAGGATCAAATTTAATTTGAATGATTATTATATTAATTTTAAAATTATTTTTATTTTTTAGAATTTATTAATTTTGATAAATATAATATTTTAAATTCATAATCTAATTTAAAAAAAAGATTTTTTTATACTTAAAAAAATGTAGTATTTATTTATGAATTTTTACTCTAATAAAATTAATGAAAAAAATTAAATATGAGTTTAATATTTTCTATATCTAAATGTAATATTAATATTTTTTATTAAAATCAATTTTAAAATAAAAAATAAAAAATTATTTTCACGAAGTTTTAATTTCTATACATCTAAAATTATAACTAAATCTTATCATATATATATATATATATATATATATATATATATATCCATTTTTATATATAAATTATTTTTTATTTTCTACAATATATAATATTGAATGTAAGCAAGTATAATATTTAATATTTATATTTTTTAATATTAAATACAACTAATTAAAATATTATTTTATTTATTTTAAATTATTTACTATTATAATAATTAAAACATAAAAATAATATTTTATAAAAAAATTGAAAATAATCGATTATTTATTATTAATTTTCTTAGTTTTGTTCGCACAAAGAATTTCAACAGTAAATTTGTTTTTTTTTTTATTATCTCAATTTTCTAACTTTTCTTGCAAATAAATCCTCTCCCATTTTCTGCGCCTTTTTAGATCCAAACACACTGTAAAAGTGTTTACGAGGAAATAATCTTTCCCTCTTTCTTGTGAAAATGATGAGGTCTATCTTTCTCTTATAAATACTTCTACTTTCATTACCATGTTCAATAACGCAACCCACGCACAGAGCTTAAGCTGTTTGTTCTCAGAATTGGTTCATGGAGATGCAAAACCCTACGCACCTGCTTCTTGTTTCGAGTCCAGGTCTGGGCCATCTCATCCCAGTCATTGAACTCGGAAAGCGCTTTGCCCTTCACCACAACTTCAAAGTCACAATCCTCGCCGTCACTTCCCAAACCTCACGCGTCGAAACGCAGATCCTCAACTCAGTCCTCACCTCCTCCCTCTGCCACATCATAGATATTCCGTCACCAGACCTCACAGCCCTCGTTGCCGAAAACGACGCCGTCTTCACTCGCCTCTGCGTCACTATGCGCGAAGCCAAACCGGCCATCCGATCCATTCTTTCCGAAATAACCCCTCGCCCTTCCGCACTCATCGTTGATGTTTTCAGCACTGAGGCCATACAAATAGCAAGAGAACTCAAAATTATGAACTACGTCTTCGTGGCTTCGCACGCTTGGATGCTCGCGTTGGTCCTCTATTCCCCGGTACTGGACGAAGTAGTGGAAGGTCAATACGTGGACCAAAAAGAACCGCTTAAAATCCCGGGCTGCAACCCGGTTCGACCGGAGGACGTGTTCGACCCCATGCTGGACCGGAACGACAGACAGTACAAAGAGTATCTTGCAATAGCAAACGGGATCCTGCAAAGCGACGGCGTTTTGGTTAACACGTGGGAGGAGCTTCAACGTAAAGACCTTGAAGCGCTTAACGAGGGAGGTTTGCTGAGCAAAGAACTGGACATGAAGATTCCAGTACATGGAGTGGGACCTATTGTGAGACAACCCGAGTTAGACACCAGTTCTTTAACCCACTCACTCATGACGTGGCTCGACAAACAATCGAGTGAGTCGGTGGTTTACGTATCGTTTGGCAGCGGAGGAACGTTATCGTTTGAGCAAATGAGGGAGCTAGCATGGGGGTTGGAACTGAGTGAACAGAGATTTATTTGGGTGGTGCGCGCGCCTATAGAAGGAATTACGGATGCAGCGTTTTTCACCACTGGGAATAGTCAGTTTGATGAGATGGTAAAGTATTTGCCTGAAGGGTTTGTGTCGAGGATCCACAAAGTGGGCCTGTTAGTCCCGGATTGGGCCCAACAAGTAACTATACTAGGGCATCGTTCTATCGGAGGATTTCTGTCACACTGCGGGTGGGGTTCGACGTTGGAGAGCGTCACGAACGGTGTTCCATTGCTTGCATGGCCGTTATATGCAGAGCAAAGGATGAATGCGACGTTGGTGGCGGAGGAGTTGGGCGTGGCGGTTCGGCCCCGGGTGTTGCCGACGAAGAAGGTGGTGCGTAGAGAGGAGATAGCAGAAATGGTGAGGAGGGTTATTACTGAGAATGGCATAAGAGAGAGAGTGAAAGAGGTGCAACACGGTGCAATGAAATCTTTGTGTGTGGGTGGTTCCTCCTACGCCGCACTTTCTGGTGTGGCAAAGGCAATTGAATGTTCCTGCCAAAATGTGAAATGCAACAAGAATTGAATCTTCTTACGAGGGGAAGAAAAAATCATATATTGGCTGAGTTGTTTATATAATTTTCACTTTGTGATAGAAAGTTTGTGGTAGGAAAAGTTATATAAAAATGATGGTTGACTTTGCTATGCCTTCTCATTCGAGTTAATTAATGTGTATTTTAATAAAGTAAAATGATGAGTTTTATTATTTAAAAGTTCATAAATTTTTTAATTTAGTTATAAAGTTTAAATAAATTGTTATTTTTTTTATCTTGTATAACTATTTTTATTTTAATTATATTTTATATATTATCATTAAATATAATTCTACTTTTATAGTATGACAATATATATTTCATTTATGCATTAAATCGTATTTTAATGATAATATATAAAATATTATTTAAAATAAAAGATAAATATGAAATTTTTTTTCAAGAATTATTTATTAACATTTAGATATTAATTAAAAACATTTATTTAAAAGACCAAAATTTTATACAACCTTTTTTAATTTTAAATAACATTGTAGTGATCTTTATTAATGTTTTGAATGAGTTTGTGTTTTTAATATAATAAATAATTATATGCTTTATTTTCTAAATATGTTGGTTTACAATTATAATTGTATATATAACTATCATTAATTTAAAATATAGTCGTCATATAACTTCTTTACACTTTCTTTAACAAATAAGGATTTGTTAAAATATAATATTTTGGAATATACATTTTGTAAGTTTAGGGAGCAAGTTACTGATCACCAATTGCATAGGGATATATATATATATATATATATATATATATATATATATATATATATATATATATATATATATATATCAGGTGAACTTTTTTTTATATTATTACTCTTATTTCTAAAAAAAATGTGATAAACAAGAAATTAATTGTGATTATATAAATTTAGCTAAAGCCGTAGAAATAATTATCAAAATAATATAATTATTAGAGTCATAGTTTTTTCCTCCATTTTTGACGCACATAGTTTTTTCGTTAACCACATAGATTTGGATGTGAATATTAATACAAACTTGAGTTGAGAAGATCAATTTCAGAATAACAATTAAAAAAAGTTTATTTATGTAAAAATTAATAATGAATGATTATAGTGAAACGTTAGTTTAGTTCAAATTAATTTTCTGCTTTCGTTTGAAGAACAGAACAGAATAATAAACTTCGATTACATCATTTTCAGTATCACTTTTTATTATTATTTTGTTATTTCTTGATACTTTATATATACCTTTTTTTATACCCGTAGTCACATGGACAACTTTAACATATGGAAAAATTAATAGCAATGATAGGAAATGGGTTGTAAGACAATATACCAATCTCAAATAACAATAATTTGAATAGTTATGATTGTTATTATGTGAAAATGAAGTCAATATTTGAATTTTAAGAAATCTTGGATATTATTATGATCGAAACCGACGAGTTATCGAAGAAATCCACCAAAGCAAAACATACTATCACTAGTGCAAAAATGACATTTTACGTCACCCAATTGTCGTCGCATGTCAAAATATTCGACGTAAATAAAACGCGGTGGCAATTTTGTAAATAAGAGGTGAAACTTTTACGTCGCATATTGTAGGTGGTGACGTTAAAAACCTCTTTTACGTCGCACCTGGTACAACGCGACGTAAAAGAGAGCTTTTTAAGTCGCGTGGGGTGAGCGCGACATAAAAAGTGATACTTTTTACGTCACGTGGGGGGTGTGCGACGTAAAAAGTATCATTTTTTACGTCACATGGGGGGTGCGCGACGTAAAAAGTGATACTTTTTACGTCACGTGGGGGGTGCGCGACGTAAAAAATATCACTTTTTACGTCACATGGGGGTGCGCGACGTAAAAAGCACTTTTTACGTCGCGCACCCCCCATGTGACGTAAAAAGTATAACTTTTTACGTCGCGCACCCCCCACGCGACGTAAAAGAGGCTTTTTACGTCATGTGCTAGGGTGTGCGACGTAAAAAGTTCTTTTTATTCTCTTTCATACCCACTCCCGCATCTCGCGCCGCAAGGGTTTTTTAGAACGACAATGAGAACGACGACGACAACTATCTTTCCACACCATTTTCGATCATTTTGGCAGTGAAAAACATCAACATTGTGTCTCATTTTACGAATTTGACATTTCTCCCCGATTGGATTCGAGTTTGAAATCGTTTTCGTGTTTACTCGAGGTTAGTGTTTTATGTCTCCTGATACATGTTCAAATTTAATCCGTAATTGTTTTTGGGGATCTCAATCACGTCATTGTATGAATGTCTCCACTTGATTGTTATTGAAATGTCATTATTTTGTTTGAGTGCATTTTCGGTTTACACACTCCATATACGTGCTTTGTTGTTTGTATATTAATTTATTTTTAAATATAAATTTTGAATCTCTAGGAGTGACGAAACTTTATAACATAATATGGATCGAAGTTGGATGAATGCACGTCGTATCAGTGAAGAGTACGAAAAGGGAGTTGATGAATTTTTGAAATTTGCTAGTAAAAATGGAAAATGTATGGAATAATATATGACTTTTTTTCATTTAGAATCGTGTCTATAACTAATGTTCTAAATGAAAAACCCAGAACAAAGACTCTGCAGTTCATTTATCCTAAGGTTAGAAACTTATTATAATAAGTGAATACCATAATTATTGTTTGTATTTAAATTTTGAAAATAACATTATATTTTATTCATCATTTCAGGTGTAATAAGCAAACAGACTCATTTGAATGTGGTTACTATGTTATGTATTCGATGAGAGCCATAGTTTGTGCGGGTATAAGCTGATTCTTGGACGGAGGTAATTGCTTTCGAGCATTAGTTAAGTTTATTTAACTTTATGTGTGTTGCATTTTTACAAGAGTCAAATTAATGTTTCAGGTATTTTAAGATCCATCTCCATTGCCAGAATATGATATCACACAAATTAGAGAATAATGGGCAAGGTTTTTCGTTCAACAGTTCTAGTACTTAATTTTTTAGGTTATTGTTTATATTATATTGTGTGTATTATGTAGTTTAGGTAGCTTAGTTTGTACTAACTTTTAGTTTGTACTAACTTTTAGTTTGTACTAACTTTTAGTTTGTAATAGATTTTAGTTTGTAGGTTATTATTTATATTATATTGTTTTATTATGTAGTTTGAATTATATATAATATTATATTTTTTAATTACATAGCTAAAGAAACCTGAACCTCTGGATTGTTTGGTTATAATATATATTTGCAGGTTTTGGTTGTAAGACAAAATAAACCCAATTTTTTAAAAAAAGGAGCAAATTTACGTCGCATATTGGTATACGCGACGTAAATTTATGTCGCATATTGGTATATGTGACGTAAATTTACGTCGCGTATACTAATATGCGACGTAAATTTAGGTTGCATATACCAATATGCGACGTAAATTTACGTCGCGTATAACAATACGTGACGTAAATTTGCTCCAAATTTTTTAATTTTTGATACTTTTTATGTCTGTTTAGTGTAAATGCAACGTAAATTAACGTCGGGTCTCGATAACTGACGTGAATTTACATCAGGCTAAGGGTCCGACATAAATTTACGTCTCCCGTTTTAACGTCAGTCTTAAATGCGACGTAAAAAATCCAAAATACCTGACGTAAAAACCCTTTTTTGCACTAGTGTATGTTTCAATATGAAAGAAACATAAAACCTTGTTTTACATTCATCAGTGTATTAATGAAAGTATTTGAAGAGATTTTGTTAGAAAACTAATAATTATGATCCTGATTTTAATTGTAACGATCAAACATAAACATTATCTAATACTCATAAACATGTTGTAAACTAAATGCGAAAGCATACCTAAATTAGTCATAATGATGATGTCCCTTTTAGAGCACTATTGATCTTATGGTCTTCCACCTAAAGAGCACATTTATTTTCCATCTGGATTTTCTCTCTTGATGGGGATAAAAAGAAAGGAACGGGAACTTAGACTTACATTCTGTGTGTGCTCCCAAAAGGGGACTATGACCCTTTAAATAACCAGAATTGGGTCAATTACTTAAGTTTTAGTATTTCTAATTTGACTCCTCATCAAATAGAAATTACTCTATTGTCTCTATACAATTTTATTTTCATGATATATGCCTTTAGCCAAAATTTTAATTTAGTCAGATCACTTTATTATTTGGCTTAATAAATAATGACCCTAACACATTTAAATTATGTATCATATATATACATGACCTAAAATTTGCCAACAATCTCCCATTGGTCACAAATATATATGTCCTTACAACCTTACAAATGTGTTAGACTTTATGAGCTCAAAATTGTCATTATATTCCTTTAGCATACTCCAAAAGTGCCGTCCATTGATTATATCATAATATAGAACCAAACAAGCGTTTCATTGCATCATCGCAACTAAAACCAACAATGATTATTAATCCTAACATAACCAAAAGACATGGATTCATCATGAAATGTGTAGCATGAAAAATTATGTAAAGGTGATCTGTACACGTCTATTTTCAACTGGTCCAAACTTTAACTTATCGAGATCGATATAATAACCTTAATGTACAAAGTGTAATGAATGATTAAAAAACCGCATATCTATTGATAACCAAATATGTTCAAAAAATCAATGTATATATTCATGAAATTAAACATAGAACATAAAATATATGAAAATGACTAACTCCCACTAAACCACAAATTCCTCAAACTGTAAAACACCCATGTGAGCAACATGCTCATGAAAGACCTTGGGCGGAAGTCCTTTAGTTAGATGATCTGCTATCATGGAGGTTGTCCCCAATTGTTCTATGAAAATCTATCTTATCTGTACTATTTCCTTAACAACTAGGAACTTAATGTCGATATGTTTTGACTTAATCGAGCTCCTGATTTGTTATCACGATATAACTTAAGTGGTCTTTCAATGTTTTTCACAATTTATAGTCCTGTGACAAAATTTCTCAGTCATATTCCATGATTTGATGCCTCATAGCATGTTACAAA